ACAGTCTGCTTTGCAGCTCTTTAAGCTCTCTAGCCTTCTCCTGGTCACAGTGGTTATTAGTGACTTTGAGAACATGAGGGTCATGCCACTGGAATTTATTCTTGGGGACATAATATAGCTACAGTTAATAGTAGATAGATTATCTTATAATCAGGTCTTATTAGAACTGTATTAAGTTAATTCGTGGGAGCTTGGAGGCAAATGCCAGGCCAGACGTATTCTTTTCCTTAGAGCCAGGCTAGGAAAACTTGCCCTAATAAAATTCACAGGCAGTGTGGACTAAGTAAGGATAGGGCTGTGCATGGGGTCCATCCCTGATGTCAGCAATAAGGTCATTGAGTAAAGGGGTCTTTGCACAGAATTTAAAAACAAGAATAAAAGTCAATCTATTTTTTGCTATCACCGTCCTCAGCAATTCTAAACAACGTCAAGGTTAAAACATTTCTTCTCACCCCAAAATCTGTGTGGGTCTAAGTTCTGAAAAACTGCTGTTGGGTAAACCTATTTTAGCACATTTTAAAATCACCTATCTTTTAATAAACACTGTATTCTTCCTGGAAATTAATTCTGAGGACCTTCGGTTATATAGTCAGCCATGAGGACTTGCCTACATGTGTTCATTGTGAGAGTTATTCATAAGCTTCAGAGTTATTCCTGGTTTCGTTGGCCACAGCCTATGTCTCCAATCCTTGTGATACCATGTATTCCCTCATTTTAAGTAGATCAGAAATAAGCAGTGATTGTAAAGATGAAGATTCAAAAGTTCTGTTATTCTGGGTGTTCACCTAGGTGATTACCTGGAATTTTTATTTGTGTTTGAAATTTAAAACAATGAAACAGAGAACTGTGAAGTATAATGTTTTTGTTTGGTAGGCACACATGTTAGTGTATACATGAAATCTTAATATGTGAATATATGTATATGAATAAAAAGATGAGGATATTGTACCAGGCTATTCTGAAAAGTCAATTTGGGTGTAAAATATTAGAGCTTTAGTGTGGGGTTGCTCTCTGATGGGCGACCTTGGAACAGACAGGCATGGAGTTACAAGTGGCAGGTTACAAGGAACAGATGGCATGATTGTGTTTGCATCTAACTGTTTCTTCTCCAGACCGTCTCCTGGCTCTCCTCCCTTTCTCTTCTGCCTTGGGTTTGTATTCCTGGTCTAAGCCCTGATATCCCAGAAATGGGCATCTGCTTCTCCATCCTCATTCCTAACCTAAGACATACTCTGAAATTTTCAGATGACTCAGAGATTAGCTTACCAACATAAAACGTGACAGAAAAAATTCAAAATGACCTTGACATTTTGGAATGCTAGACTGAAAGTCATCAGATAGGGCTAAAGGTGAAGACTCCACTTCAAGTTAAAAAAATTCAGTGACACAAAGGAGCTTTTGGGCTGATGGATATGTTCATTATCTTTTTTTTTTTTGAGATGGAGTCTCATTCTGTCATTCAGGCTGGAGTGCAGTGGTGCAATCTTGGCTTACTGCAACCTCCGCCTCCCTGGTTCAAGCGATTCTCCTGTCTCAGCCTCCCAAGTTGCTGGGACTATAGGCACGTGCCACCATGCCTGGCTGATTTTTGTATTTTTAGCAGAGACAGGGTTGGCCAGGCTGGTCTCGAACTCCTGACCTCAGGTGATTCATCTGCCTCAGCCTCCCAAAGTGCTGGAATTACAGGAATGAGCCACCATGCCTGGCTTGGATACGTTCATTATTTTGATTGTGATGATGATTTTCTGGGTAGATGTATATGTCAGAACCTATCAAAGTGTTTTTTTTTTTTTAACACTTGTTGTATGTCAATCATACCTTCATAAAAATGTCTAGAAAATTCAAGGCTGCGTGGACAGAGTGGAAATTCTACTTGACTGCAGCACCTTTGAGAAAGCTTGGGAGGTTCTATATTTGTAATTTGACCTTAAATTTTTTTTTTTCAGAGTCTCACTCTGTCACCCAGGCTGGAGTGCTGTGGTACATTCTTGGCTCACTGCAACCACTGCCTCCCAGGTTCAAGCAATTCTCCTGTTTCAGACTCCCTAGTAGCTGAGATTATGGGTGTGTGCCCCCATGCCCAGATAATTTCTGTATTTTTAGTAGAGACAGGGTTTCACTGTGTTGTCCAGGCTGGTCTCAAACTCCTGACCTCAGGTGATCCGCCCACCTCAGGCTCTTACAGTGCTGGGATTACAGGTATGAGCCACTGCACCCAGCCATTTGACCCTACATTAATGTGAGTTTTTCACTAAAGAAAGTAATGGAAGCACAATGTGGAGATCCGCAAGTGTACACAGCAACACAGCTGAATAGTACACTCTGTTCTGGGCACCATTAATTGTGAAGTGTTGACACCCAAGGTCTCACCTGTGTTTGGCCAGGAGACAAGATTTGGAGCCTTCTTGTAATCCAATTTACTTGGATTTTTTCAGCAGTCCAGTTCCTGCTAATGGACTGCAAATTCCTGCCAGAAAATACAATCCTGACCTGAGACAGATGTGAGAAATTCATAGCTCTCTATCTCCAGGGGGTTTAGAGAGTTCACTAAGTGGCCAGAGTTCCATGTGGGCCCGGTGTGCTCTATTCTGCTGGGGCACTTATGACAAATGACCTTCTCAGGGATGGGTGTACCCTCTGTGGCCTAGTTATGGTGGGCTGCATAGTTCTAAGTATGCTAGTGTAATTCTACTCTTCCTCGCTTACTAGAAAAGCTTAAAGGAAGGCAAGTGTAAGAGTAAGGAAGCTTGTTACTATGAGGACAACCTTGAATTGGCTCTAAATTAGATATAAGCCCTAACCTTTCATGTCCTCGAGTACTTTATGATTTTTATTTTTTCCTTCATCATTCAACTTGAGGTTGGTTAACAAATTACTTGCAATGCATGTCCTAGCAGATGGGGACACAGCAATGTGTTGAGTTGGCGAGCCAGAGGCTGAAAACTGCCTGGACTTCAGGAAGCCCAGGATATAGCATAAAGCAGTAGCCCCTACAATGCCCTCAGCTGGCTCTGTACCTGTCTATCCCCTTCTTGATGCCACGCTGGGATCTGTGCTAGGGGATCAGGCTCAAGGGCACTGGCACTGGCCAGCAGTTGTTGCTTGATTTCTCAGCTAAACTCACTTTCCTTTGGCTACAGGGATCTGTGTAGGCATATCAGAGGCCACCAGAAAGGTGTGAGAATTCTAGAAACCATGTACAAGGAACTGTTTAAGGATCTGGGAGTATTTAACTTGGAGAAAGAAAATGAATGGGAAGCAAGGCAGTGGTCTTCAAATTCTTGAAGAGCTGACCTGACCAGGCTTGTTCCATTGGGCAAGGACACAGAAGGCTAAATTAGGGTACAGGAGCAGGTTTTCTGGGGAGGCAAATTCAAGCTTAACACGAAGAGGAAGTCTGCAAATTAGGACTGGCAAACAATGAACTGACTGTTGTTAGAAACAGTGAGCTCCTTTTCACTGTGGGAATTAGAATATTCATGGCCAGGGACGGACACAAAGGATTTCTGTGCTTGAATGTTCTGTGGAAGTTTCTCCCTCCAGGCTCTAGAATTCTGTAACTCTAAAAGCTCCTGTGTTCTTATACTTTTGAGATCCCTGTTTAGACTGTGGACTCCTACCTGGGTTTACCCATCCACTCCCTCCCAGGGAGCTCAGCACCTCCCTGCACATCACTGAACTGGTTTTTATCATTTCTTTGCTTCAGTGGTTGGGATTTCTCTTCCCCATATCGCAGGAGCATGAGGTTGAGGCCCCTAGATTCTGTGCATCATACCAGATTTCCCTCACTCTGGGTGTCAGGCTATGTCCTGAAATATATTTCCCATAAAGCCTATGCCCTTTTCTGTTTGAACGATGGGTTTAACATGAGGGACATGTGGGACATGTGGCTCTCTAATGGGAACACTAAGAGGTTGGAAGCACAGGGTAGGGATTCTCACCTTCCCTCATCTCTCTGCCTCACTCATCGAATGGGCATGCATTATTCCTCCTCATCACTTCCACCCTTTCTCTGAGCTGGGAGAATATGTCAATCAATGACAGTGAAACCAGTAACCTTGTCATTCTTACTGTTGCAAAACACACAGAACTGTGACATATATCAGTGTGTAGATATTCTTTTGCGTATGATACTATCATGCTCTTGTCTCATCATATTGTAGATCATTATGATTTGTTGTCTTTGGGGAGGGGGACACTACATTTCAACAATGAGAAGGACATGTTACCAAAATGTCCCCTCCAACACAGTGCCAATGACCTTTGACTCTGGGCGAGGGAACCATAAAGAATTCAAGTGTTTTCTCCAGTGTGTCTAGGACCCCCCTGCTCCCGTGTCATCATGTTCGCCACACTGCATGATGACTGCATGTTCAATTGTTTCTCTGGTAATTTGAGGTATTGCCAGTGCCTAACACACTTAGGTACTGAATTTACCCTTCCTGACTTGCACTGATAGGCTTATATGCAGAGGGTAAGAGTGTCCTCCACATGGGGGTCACTTAAAAGTATTTGCTAGGCCTGGCATGGTGACTCACGTCTGTAATCCCAGCACTTTGGGAGGCCGAGGCAAGTGGATCACTTGTCAGGAGTTAGAAACCAGCCTGGCCAACGTGGTGAAATGCTGTCTCTGCTAAAAATACAAAAATTAGCTGGGCATGGTGGTGCATGCCTGTAATCCAAGCTACTCAGGAGGCTGAGGCAGGAGAATAGCTTGAACCTGGAAGGTGGAGGTTGCAGTGAACCGAGATCGCACCATTGCACTCCAGCCTAGGCAACAAGAGCGAAACTCTGTCTCAAAAAAAAATTGCTAAAGGAGGGATTATAGCTGGGAAGGGCCTTTGGAAGCCCAAACTCTTCATTTTGGAAGGTGGAAATCTGAGATTTAGAAAGATAAGGACCAGCCAGCTGAACCAGTACTGGAACTGAGTTCTTCCCTTGGCTGCATGGTACTGTTTCCACTGTGCCCCCAATCATGTGTTTTCTCTCTCCATTTCCAGCCTTGTTAATTTTGTGTGCCACACCTGCTTCAAGAGGCAGGAGAAGCTCCATCGCTGTGGGCAGTGCAAGTTTGCCCATTACTGCGACCGCACCTGCCAGAAGGATGCTTGGCTGAACCACAAAAATGAGTGTTCAGCCATCAGGAGATACGGGAAGGTGCCCAATGAGAACATCAGGTGAGAGCTAGGCCCTATGATGGTGCTTTGGATTCCCAAATGTCAGGCTGGAATGGTGGCAGCAACTGCATTCCCAGAGCTAAGGAAACAAAGCTGAGTGCAAGTCAGGAAAGAGCCTCAAAGACTGGAAATGGTTGCTTCTGTTCACTCCCTTAAGGCCTAAGAGGGAGAACTGGCTGTTGGGAGCAGTGATTCCAAACTGCAGCCACTGGCTGAAACTGGCTTGCAGACTCCTTCTGTAGGACTCCCCAAAGTTTAGTTTATTTATGTATTTTGGATCCAGGGTCTTGCTCTGTTGCCCAGGTTGGAGTGCAGGGGCCCTGATCACAGCCCACTGCAGCCTCAAACTCCCAGTCTCAAGTGATCTTCCCACATCAGCCTCTCAACTAGCTGGGACCACAGGCATGCACCACCACGCCTGGCTAATTTTTATATATTTTGTAGAGATGGGGTTTTGTCATGTTGCCCAGGGTAGACTCGAACTCCTGAGCTCAAGCTATCCACCCATCTCAGCTTCCCAAAGTGCTGGGATCACAGCTATGAGCCATCATGCCTGGCCAAGGGCCAAGTATTTTAAAATTGATCCACCAACGTTTAAAAATTGGGAAATTTTACATTTTAAAATTAGAATTTCTGGCTTCTCTTGAAAAACAAAATAAAACAAAACTGAAGATCTGGCAAAATAGGCTAGAGCTGAGTAGTGTCAGCCCCCTTTAAAAAATACAGAGCTTTCTAAGTCACAGCAGCACCACTCCCCCTGCGGTCATACATGTTACACAGAGAGCGCATTTGAGTTTACAACTAATAGCCTTTCCTGGTGGTCATCGTCAGAAATCTCAAGGCCAGTAGCTCCAGCCCAAGGGATTCCCAAATCCTGGAGGCTCTGCTGGGGTAGGGCTTGGTGCTGAGCTACAGGGAGATGCTCAGGAAGCCAGCAATGCAGAGCGAAGAAGGAGATGGTGACTGGGAGCATTTTCACTCTGTGCATAGGGTGTGAAGTTAAGGTACAGAATGGAATTGTCATATCCTGATGATTTTTAGGAACTTGTAGGATGAAATAGCTCAGTGGGCCTCCCCATGCCCCTTAACTCCATCTATTGAAACCCTACGTATTCTTTAGACCTAAAGTAAATGGCACCTCCTGTGATAGTTACTGAGTTGAAATCTATCACCCATTGGCCTCTATTCTCTGAGCTTCATGACCCTTTCCCCATTATTTGAAGGCAGCAGATCTTCCCTGTGCTGAGTCGTATTTTCCCCAGTGCTGCCCTGGGCTCCTTGCAAAGACAGCTCAGTTTCCAGGTACCTGGAGTCCCAGGCGGGGCATTACTCCAGAAATAACTCAGTGACTCAAACAGGAGAAATCAGGAAGATGAAAAACGTTCTGGAAACAGATGGTTGGTGATGGTTGCACAGCAGTGTGAATGTGTTTAATACCACCAAACTGTATACTTCAAAATGGTTAAAATGGTACAAAAAGAGGCAGGGAACAGAAGGGACCCTTGAGGTGATGGCACTGTTTAGTATCTTGACTGTACAGGTGGATACATGAAGCTACACAGGTGATAACATTGTATATAATTAAATACACATACACATTTATGAGTGCAAGTAAAATGGAACAAATTTGAATAATAGAGGTGGGTTATCAATGTCAATTCTGGCTGTAATATTAGTTTTCCAAAATGTTACCATTGGAGAAAACTGGGCAAAATGTACTAGGGATCTCTTTGTATTGTTTTCCAACTGCCTGTGGATTTGCAATTCTCTCAATTAGAATTTCAATTAAAAACAAAAAACAAAAAACAAGGAGAGGGCCTATGCTTTGCCAACCAAGTCTCTCCTCAGGGACAGGATCTGTCCTGGACCACCATTCCCTCCCTGGGTGCCTGAAAAGTTTGCACTCAGTGGGTGGCAGGGACATTCAAGTGTTCCTGGGTCATAGGCTTCATCATGGGCAGCCTAATAATTAATAAAGAGGCCTCCGGAATGAAGTACACCCCTCTATCTCATACTCAAGTCCCTGTGTCTCTACAAGTCTCCTCCTGTCCCACCTGGCCTCCCCCACTTTCCCCAGAGCCCCTCTCCAGCCAGGCCAGACCCCTCCCTGCTTCCTGCACGTGGCATGCCCGTGGCCACCAAGGCCTTTGCTCAAACTGTTTCCCCACCTAGATTGCCTTCTCCACTTTCTCGCTTCCCAGCCATCAAGAATACCAATACGTTTACAAGTAATGCAGATACCTATTACCTCACTTTGTCTTCTGAATACCTCTGGAGGTTAGCATAGCAGGGAATATTTTCCCTATTTTACTGGCCACCAGATAGGTTCAGAGAGGTCAGGTGACTTGCCCAGGCTCACACAGTAAGAAGTGAAACAGGTTATTGGACTCCTGATTCAGGGCTCATTGCTGTAGGCCACACTGTTAAGAGAGATCCAGGCTGCCGCACCTCTCTGTCCCCAGAACCCCTGGGACTTGGTTCCTGCTCACACCTCCACCTTCATCTGGTCTCCATTTCTTGCTCCCTGTGCTCCAGCCACCTCTGCCTTCTTGCTGTTTCTCCATCATGCCAAGCTCACTCCTTCTTCAGGGCCTTTGTACTCACTGCCCTCTCCTGAAGCGCTCTTTCTCCAGTGTCACACACAGAGCCAGTTCCTCCGCCCCTTCCAATTTCAGCTCAAATATGTCTCCTTTGTGACACTTCCCTGGATGACTTTAGCCTCCCCACCCCAGTGACTGTCTATCATGCCGCCCTGCATTATTTTTTATGCCCAGTACTTTCTATGGAAAATCTTCTCTAGTTTAAAACGGTATCTTGGGCCCAGCATTGTGCCTGGCATGCATGAGACACCCAGTACATGTGTGTTGAATGAATGAACACGGCTGTAGTGGCCCGCTGATGCTGCCCTTCCCACAGGCTGGCGGCGCGCATCATGTGGCGGGTGGAGAGAGAGGGCACCGGGCTGACGGAGGGCTGCCTGGTCTCCGTGGACGACTTGCAGAACCACGTGGAGCACTTTGGGGAGGAGGAGCAGAAGGAGCTGCGGGTGGACGTGGACACGTTCTTGCAGTACTGGCCGCCCCAGAGCCAGCAGTTCAGCATGCAGTACATCTCCCACATCTTCGGAGTGGTAGGCCCTCGGCGTCCCTCCTCCACCCTACCTGTCTCTCTCCTCTTTCCTTTCCTCCTCCCCCTCGGGGAGGGTGGGGCTTCTCAGAAATGAACTTCGAGTCAGAAGCCCGGTCTGCCCTCGACCCTGGTTTCTATTTCCATAATGGCCTCATCTAGACGAGGCAGCTCTGGAGAAACTGCCTTCTATTTACCACATGTGGCAGAAACACCTACTGCCCCTTCCATTTCTGAGTCCAGGGACAGGCCTCTAAACAACACAACTAATAAAATCTAGAGATTCTAGATTATGATTCCATATAAAGGAGGGGCCATGGTGACAGCTGGGATCGTCCAACTAAGAAGTTTCCAAAAGCTGCCAGGCCAGAGTTGGGAGGGGAGGCCAAGAGGACTGAAGGAGGACAGGAGCTTGAAATGAAGAGCCCTCATCCTGGACTCTGTCTTCTGGCCTTGTTTACTACAAGGTCATTCCTGCTCTATCTGAATTGGCATCCCACATACAAATGTTACTTACTTATCCTTCTCTGGATGGTAGATTTGGATGGTAATTTATCTTCTTACTTGTCTGCACTTTTTACATTTTTTCCTCTCCACATTGAAAATAAAGATCCCCAATCACTATCCGTCCCTGCCCACCAGTTACTTTGGAAACCTTTTCGCAAATCTACCAGGCAGGACTGATGGGGAGCCTGGAGCAGTGGGGGGTGTGAGCTAGACAGGGGAGTCAGGGCTTTGGGGTGGGAGCAACAAAGCCAGGTGAGGCCATAAGAGTCCTGGAGGTGGGGTCGAGAGCCGGGTGGATGAGGAGGCTCAGTTCCTGGCCGTGGGGATGAATGTCTTCCATCTGGCAGACCAGGCCCTTTATGTAGGCTGCGGAGGAGGACAAACATCACATTGACATCTCCCAAGTCCTCACCATGTTAGGGGGTGAGGGGAGAGACATTGATCGATTCTAAGGATTTGGTTCACACATTGGTGGAGGCTTGATAAGTCCAAAATCTGCAAGGTAGGCCAGCAGGTTGGAGGTCAGGGAAGAGTTGCAGTTTAAGTCCAGAGGCATTCTGCTGGCAGAACTCCTTCTTGCGCAGGGGAGATCAGTGTTTATTCTATTGCGGTCTTCAACTGATTAGATGAGGCTCAACCACATCCTAGCAGGCGCTCTGCTTTACTCAAACTCCACCAATTTAAATGTGAATCTCATCCAAAAACACCTTTACAGAAGTGTGCATTATGGTGTTTGACCAAATATCTGGGCAGCTTTGCCCAGCCATGTTGGCATATGAAATTAACCACCACAGCTTCCCGTATATTATTTCACCCAATCTTTACAACAACAAGGTAAGGTCTGTGCTTTCAGCATTTCCATTTTATAGAACAGACAATCTAGGCCCAGAGGGGTTACACGACCTCTGAAAACCATGTTTAGCATGTGCTAACTATGGTCTAGAAGCAGTCTGTATTGTCTGGAGCCAGAGCTTCTACCTTCTTTTTTTTCTTTTTTTGAGGTGAGGGTCTTACTCTATCACCTCAGGCTGGAGTGCAGTGGTGCAATCACGGCTCATTGCAATCTCCACCTCCCTGGCTCAAGTGATTCTCCCACTTCCTGAGTATCTGGGACCACAGGCACACACCATCATGCCTAGTTAATTTTTGTATTTTTTGTAGAGACAGAGTTTCACCGTGTTGCCCAGACTGATCTTGAACTCCTGAGCTCAAGTGATCCACTCATCTTGGCTTTCCAAAGCACTGGGATTATAGGCGTGAGCTACCATGCCCAGCCTAAGTTTTTGCTTTTAACTATTATGTTCTATAGCCTTGGGGTGAATTGGTATGTAGAGAAATCTTGGGCATCCCTAATAGGTCTGGGGACTAGGGCTACAGGTCATATAATTACCAAAGGTTGGAGCTGAAAAGATCCTTGGAGCTCATCTAGTCCAATTTATTCAACCTATAGAAGGGAAAACCAGGGCTCAGAGAAGAAAGAGATTTGCCTCAAGTAGTACAGCTTGTTAGTGGTACTCACAGGCTTAACATCGTGAACTTGCTAAATATCTGATGAGAATAAATGAGAGAGCGACATTCCTCCATATCTATGATAAATATCCATGTGAGGGCTTAAATGTATACTGTATTTCTATCATGTATATCATGTATTCTTAGATGTATTTATAGATGAAGTGGAAATTTGCCTGCAGTTATTAATGTATTCTAGGTTATATTTATCCTTGTACATTTTTCATGCTGTGAGAGCAGATATTTGGGGTCTGTTTCTGTAAAGAACAATTTATTTTTAAGGAAAAGAAAATCACTTGGATCCCACATCAGTAATAACCAACTTGATTTGTCTTGAATCTCAGAGATAAGTGTTAAATATGGCACTCACCAGATTTAAAAATTGTGAACAGGGGATGTAAAACTATTACCAGATACAAAATAATAAAAAAAGATGTCGATTTTCTTTTATGAACAGTTACAGGTGTTTAAACTGAGTAGGCAGAGGAAACAGGGGAAAGAAAAGCTCACACACACACACACACACACACACACACACACACACACACAGAGAAACCAAGCCAGAGACTGAGGAATACTAATGTAAGACCCAGATACAGAAAAAAGAAAACATTTCCATCTTCCACTGTTTTGGAATACAGCCACAAAAACTTTTAAGGTAGTGTTGCATTTTTTCAGATATGGGACTGTGCCATGGCACTAATCTTGTGGGTCATTTGGAGTCATGCAGAAAACAGGGACTAGTTGTTCTGTTTCCAGTCTCCCTAAGCATCCCCAGGGTAAGACTGGGTCTTCTGTTTTTCAAAACTCCTTTTGACAGCTAGGATTGTGTTCTGTCCATGTCTATTGACTGACTCTTTCATCTTTTTCCCTGGGTAGATTAACTGCAACGGTTTTACTCTCAGTGATCAGAGAGGTCTGCAGGCCGTGGGCGTGGGCATCTTCCCCAACCTGGGCCTGGTGAACCATGACTGTTGGCCCAACTGTACTGTCATATTTAACAATGGCAAGTGAGTATGTCTGTATCTGGGGGTATGTGTGATGGGAATGGGGAGGCCTATGGTGTTTTCTCCACTTAACTTAAGTCAAAGTCAACCTGCTAATCCTGAACTAGCGTAGATTTTAAATGTGTAGCACATGGAAATCTCATTCCAGGATAACTGTAAATGAGAGAAAGGCATTGTGGAGGGTATCAAAGAATTCAACCTGGGTCATTTCTGAGTATGCATGTTTTTTGGGGGCTGCCTGGATGTGTTAGAGAAATCTTTACTATTTTAAAACTTGAAGCCTTGGATTATCTGTCTAGAGTCAAGGTCTTAGCAGGAATCAGGAGGCATACTCAAAGGGGTTTACCCAAATAGAATTCAATGAAGGGACAATTTACGGAAGTGTGGGTAGGGTTTAAGACACTGTAGGGGAATGAGGCCTGAGCAATATTAATTGCTTTTGCTCTTAGGGATGAGCTCTTATGACAAGGGGCAGGGCCTGGTGGCTCATGTTTGTAATCCCAGCACTTTGGGAGGCTGAGAGGGGTGGATCACTTGAGGTCAGATGTTCAAGATCAGCTGGGGCAATATAGTGTTACCCCCATATCTATAATAAATAAATAAATATAAAAATAAATTAGCCAGCCATGGTGGTGCATGCCTGTAGTCCCAGCTACTTATGAGGATGAGGCAGGAGGATCACTTGACCCCTGGAGGTTGAGGCTGCAGTGAACTATGATCATGCCACTGCATTCTGGCCTGGGTGACAAAGCAAGATGTTATCTCTGAAACAAAACAAAACAAAACAACAACAAAAATAAACTAACAAGGAATGGCGAGGTGCCCAGGGACTAGCAACACATGAAACCATCACCACCTCTAGGCTTGGAAGGGCAAGTGAAGGAAGCACTGTTATGCAGCTGGTGAGAGAGCTAGAGCCATGCTAGGGGGCCCCCCAATAGCTCAGCTGTGGCTTATAACTGTGTCTAGAGAATCCAGCCAGCTGGCACCATGGCTTGGCAAAGAGGAAGCCAATGGATTGGATAGACCAACCCCTCATTTCCTCCACCTTCTGCTCTCCTACCATTGGCCAAACCCCAACCAGAAGCCAAAGCGCAAAGAAACCTGGGTGATGCAACCCTCAGAGGTCAGCCCCTTTTCCGAGAAGGCACAGATGATGGGGGAAATAAGGGCAAATGATGGATTTGGGGGTGGAGCACAAATGGAGAAAAATCAGCAGATGGAATGAGCCCCTGTTTGTCCATGGCTCAGGCTGGGGAGATGTAGAGGAATGAGGCCTGAGCAATATTAATTGCTTTTGCTTTTAGAGATGAGCTCTTATGACAGATACAAGCTGACTTTGAGCCATCAACAATGAGCAAGTTCCCCCCAAAAACTTCCTAGAAGCCAGATAATGGTGTCTGGTTCTCAGCTGAGAACTGGGGCTAAGCTTCAATATGCCAAGTACTCTGATTTCCCTTTTTCTTCCTGTTTCTGAAACCAGGCTCTCAAGCAACTGAGAAAGTCACTCAAGATGGGAAAGTTTACTTTGGACTCAGATGATAATCTTTTCTCAGCATTTGTGTTTCTTTTCTGAAGCCTTTTGGGGTCATTGGCCTGAACCGCATGGAATCCTCCCTAGAGAGGCTGTTGACTGAGCTTGACCTGATTAGCAGAGAGGATCAAATTCAGCCACATATGGGCCTGAGCTTTCTAGATGGCCCTTTTCTAAGTGGTGGTGACCCAAGGCTCCTCTTGTCATTGGGTGTAACAACCACAGGAACCTAGCAACTCTTTCTTCTATGTCTGCTCTGGCTTCCTTGTATCTACTAATTTCTAGCAGCCACATTTTATCCAGGCTTCTTGGCTTTTGTGCAAGAGAAGGTGACTTTACATTTCCTGTCTAGCTGCCTGCCATAGTGGAAAGAACCCTAGACATGGGGTTAAGGGCTCAATTTGAACCCCAACAGTTTTTGCGTACTATCTATGTGACCTAACCAGCCTCCGTGTGCAGTTCAAACTCTTCCCAAAACAGATGTCCAAAGAGACAATGTTTATTCATGTGGGATGCTTAATAGAATGATAATAACGACATTGTGTATGTTTTTTCAGCATTCTGTTTTTAAGTGCATTGTCTCATGACAGTCTCATTACAGGTGGGAACACTGAAACACAGGGAAGGGAAGGAACTTGTTCAGGTCAGGGCTGACTTTGAACCCAGAACCTCTTGTTCCAAATTCAGTGCACTTTACGCTATACCAGGCTATGTCTTGTCCAGTGAGTCCAGCTAGAAGGGGCTGGGATAAAGTCTGTTGTGACGGCCAAAGCTTTGATAGTATGACCCAGAATGCTAGGCACCCTTGCACTGGATCACACCTGATCAGCCAATGATAATGATTTCCATACGGGTGTCTGTTTTGTCTTTCAGTCATGAGGCAGTGAAATCCATGTTTCATACCCAGATGAGGTGGGTCAGTCCTTTCAAGCATCCCTGCTCCTCTGACCCATCTCCCTCACTTGCCTGGTTTGCTGGGACCACCCATTCCTGAGACTCCTTGGCTGCCATCTATCCATAAAGTCCTTCTGCATCCCAGTGTCTCGTCTTTGCGGAATGGTGTACTTTTAATGCATTTAAATTAATCATTTTTCTTACCTACATAACATCTGCCTTGCTTTGCTTTATGTTTCCTCCTTTCTTCCTCCCTTTCACTCCTCACTTGGTCTGCTCTTCCAACCTTGAAGCATGAACCCTTGCAGTCCACATTGTCTTAGCAAAAGCCTATCTTGTCTCCCTAAACCCTCCTTACCATGAAATGGGGACTGTGACTGACCTACTAAAGGACTGTCTGTTTATAAGCTCCAACTTCTCACCCAGACTGGGCTCCAAAAATGGCATCTATAACTGATACTTTAAATAAATGTTTATTCATAGTATTCTGCTTACTGCTTCTGACCAATTATGAATTAGCAGTTTAGGTTAAATTTTACTTCTGTCTTTTCTTAATGACAACCAAACGGCTCCAGATGGGTCTTTTTCTCAGGGTGGGCTTACCAGCCCTTGACATGGTCTTTGGATTAAGAACAAGATGCTGTGTGGGAGTTTGGGCTTTGGGAATGCTGGGGTAGAAGTGGCCGGTGCATTGAGTCTGTGTTGGTGTGCACTGTACGTGACTTTGGATGATTCACATCATCTCTTGGGCTTGGGTTCCACATCTGAAGAGAAAGGTCAAGAGGAGAGTGCTCTAGGGACCTTCCTAGTTCTAAGTGTCTGCAGCGCTGGGCTGTCTCTAACTTCCATGAGAAATAATTAAATAGGCTTCCTACTTGTGGCTCAATTAGCTGAACTATAGAATTGCAAATTGTTGGAGGTAGAAGGGGTCTGTGGTCCAGGGTGGGGATGAAGCTTGTCCAAGGAAGCTGGTTGGAGGCGGAGCCAGGGCTAAAACCCTCCTGCCTCCTGCAGCGCTTATTTCAGGCTGGTCACCATTCCCCTCTTCCAATCTCCAGTTTCAAGTAAGATAAAATCAGGCATACATGTATGCATTTTTTCATATTTAAGTGACATTGATTTAATTTGGTTTTGAAAAATGTCTAATGCCGTTGAAATAATCTGAGACACCCTGAGACAGTGCAAAAATTGGCACAATCATGGTGGGAAGAAAAATTACTGGAAATTCCAGCCCAATTGGCCACTGATTCACTGTTGAATTAGAATATGTCACTATGGTGAACTGCCTCTGTAAAAGGGACTCATTGGGGAGGAATTGGTTACTTACCCACCAGGGCTAAACACCAGAGATCCACACTCTATCCTGGCCCAGGAGTTGCTCACATAGAATTATTTAGGACATTAGTAGATTCCTAAAAAGCAAGAGCTTTGATGCATCTTAATTCCCCTGCACTGAAGTCCCAGGAGGTAGCCTGAAAACAACCAGGCAAGGCTGCTATGATGAGGGTATGAAGTTCTAATCCTGGCTCTGTCCCCAAAGTGTAGTGGGACCTATCCTTGTGTCACTATGCTCATTTATGGAATGAGTGTCCCCTGAAGCTCAGACATATTAGGATTCTAAGCAGAAATGTGAGCAGAATCACCTGGCCTTCCTCTCCTACTGGCTTTTCATCACTTCAGTAACCGCTGCTGCTGAAAATTAGGGTAAGGAATAAAGGAAAGGAGGGACAAATGGTGAGCAGGCACTTCAGGAGTTATTTTTATACATATTATCACATTAATAGGCATATCAGTGTATCTTGCTTTGGGAGAAGGATTTTTATCTGTAAGTGGTCACCTCAGATGCCTGAACATGGATGTCACTACCATTCAGCAGTTGCTCCCTTGATTGTCATCTCAGAGTACAAGGAAGGAGCTGTCTTTGACTGGGACTGTTCTTGGGTGCTGGAGTCTTGCCCTTGCTTTTGGATGGTGTCTAACTGAGCCTTTCTGGGATGTAAAAGAAATTACCACGGATCTCTGTGCAGTTACTCTCCTTAGCCCTCTGCATCCTGCCACTTGCTGTCTGGATGATGGCTTCCCATCAGGCAGGGGAGCCCCAGCATTCTGGGGAGATACAGGAGCACGGTTTAGGACCCAGCTTACAGGGCCCACCGCTTGTTTTCTGTAGCTGTCTGGCCTTGTGATGGAGAATGCATGGCTGAGAGGTCCACAGGCTGACCTCTACCTGTTTGGCTCAGCTGGATGTCAGTTCTGCAGTGGGTTTTTACCTTCAAAATCTTCAATATCTATCACATTAGGTAAGGTGGGTAGTGCTGTAAGTAATTGAGGGTCAGATCTAGGCTAGAAGGGAACTGAAATGCCATCTGCTCTTGCTAATCACCTTCAACCAATAAGCCACATGTCCCAATAAACACAAAAGTGAGCAATGCAGTGAGCTAACACAGCCAACCTTTGTTTGTTTGCCTTTGTTTATTTGCCTTCCCTTATGTAAGTCTCCTTATGTAATCTGGCCTAAACCACTGGAGTGAAGGTTAAGAGGTAACTTCAAGTTAGACACAGAATGGGCCAAGGTTGTGGGTAACCGAATGTGTATGTTTCTGAGAGAGTAGTCCCCAAACTAATCAGAAAAGATTTTCAGGTTTCTCTTGTTTGGAGTTTTTGCCTTATTTCTCCCTTTCTTTGTTATAGATAATCAGTAGCTAACTGTAAGGGGAGACTTACAGGCATAGACATTCTGCCTGGTTTTATGACTGAGCCCAGCTCTCTGGTAGGAATCTATCTGAGCTGATTCCAGAGCAGTTAACTCAATGGAGTGGATTGGACTGTTCTAAGGAATAGAGTAAAATTATACAGAAAACCATCTTTAGGTCACATTTCTTCTTTAATGGGGGCAATGGGAGTTTTCTGAGTGCCAGTGAAAGCCATTGTCTTTGAGGCCCAACTCCATGAAGCCTTGGAGAGCACAGATCCCATTTCAGTAGGCCTGGATTGAACTCACCTTTTCCTTTCACTCTGCTCCAGAATTGAGCTCCGAGCCCTGGGCAAGATCTCGGAAGGAGAGGAGCTGACTGTGTCCTACATCGACTTCCTCAACGTCAGTGAAGAACGCAAGAAGCAGCTGAAGAAGCAGTATTACTTTGACTGCACGTGTGAACACTGTCAGAAAAAACTGAAAGATGACCTCTTTCTGGGGGTGAAAGACAACCCCAAGGTACACACAGCCCTGTTGCTGGGGTGTTTGTGTCCATCTTCTCCAGGAGACAGTCACAGGTGGTTTCACAGCTAATCAGTGTGCCCTGCCCATGAGCTTCCTAGGGAGCAGCTGTCACCCTGGGGAGGTGGCAGAGGATGAGAGCAGAGCACTATATGGGTAGGTCCCAGCTATGTCCTGGCACTGCCACTTATAGGTGTTTGAATTTGGGAAAGTCGCCCAGTTTTCTCAACTGTAAAATAAGAATGATGGCCCCAAAGCAAGAGGTTCTTAGAAGGATTAAAGAAGATGATGTGTTAAAGGAGTGGCATGCAGAGTAGACACAGCAAGTTCTGGTTTCTCCTCTTGCTCTTTTCTGAGTTGAGTGATGCTGATAATTTAAGATGTTGAGATCAGATGGGCAAAGAGATTTGTTCTCTGGCTATCACAAAAACATTCCTAGTCCCATGGGGATGGGCAATGTGGAGGCAGGGCTATGTTTAGATTGGTCAACATCCTGAACTCCTGGGTAGCTATTGCCAATTGATGGTGAGTGTGTTGTGCAGCAGAGGAAGGCTTGATGAGAGGAGGTCAGGAACCCAGCTGAGCTGGGAGAAAGAGCTAAGCCACCAGGTGTCAGAGTAGCCAGTTAAAGCAACAAAGCAGAAATGAGAGCGAAGTATTTAATCACTGATTGCAATAGTATAAGCAAGAAGCTAAAACCAAAGAAAGCGCTGACTCCTCTTGTGCGTTTCCTCCGGTGAAGCTGTGTTCAGGGGGAGGATGAGGGAGATCAGTAAAGGCATGGAGGCATTTCCCATGGCAAGCTCTTTTATAAGGGTACCAGTCATATTGGGCTAGGAGCCCACTCTACTTTAGTATGATCTCACCTTAACAAATTACATCTATAGTCACCCTATTGCCAAGTAATATCTCACTCTGAGGTTATTTCTGGGGCTAGACTTCAACATATGAATTTTGGGAGGATGCAATTTAACCCCCAACACTGTGTATGCTACCACTTATGAATGTTAAAAGACACATACACACACATACAGACACACGCACACACCTGTGCCTGCAAGCATACTCTGTCTATACAGACAGAAGCAGGAGGAGGGAACTGTGACCAGTGATGCCTGGGGTGAAGAGATTGAGAGTCACCCCTCCCAGGCAGAGACAAAGCAGTTGGGGCCCAAGGATTAACGTTTTCTATGGGAACAACCTCCTTTTCAGAGAATCAAAGTTTCTGTATTCTAGGAGATGTATGTTGGATGTACGTAAGAGGCACTGAGCACTGCCTCATAAGTGCTACAGAAGAATTGGTTATTGCACCCGCCCTCACCCTGACTTTTCAGAACCTGAGGATAACATGGCTTATCTGTGAGCCAGCCAGCCTTCCCTCCTGGAGACTAGCCCTGAGTATTTGTTTCATAACTTGCTTCCACACTACTTAATTTTTTTTTATTAAGAGGCCAGACCTTCTTTTCTCGTTCCAAAATAAAACAACCATGTGGTCATTACTTTAGATGTTTTTTGATGTTTACCTGACAGTTTCAATAGTTCAGTAGGCCACATGTGGCCTTTAGTTCCCATCCCTTCACTTCAGATATGCTGTTACCAGCTAGTGATGATACACACATGTCTTCAGTATGCATTGCAGAGCTGGCATTTCTCTTGATAAAAAAAGATTGATGATTTCTGCTGAAATCTACCTAAATTCAAAGCAAAAACTTTCTATTATATTTTATATCAAATTGGGTTTCTCTATGAAAATAACTCATCGATACTAACTGAGGAGAAAAAAATTGAGTATATATTTTTAAATGCAAATGCATTTTCAGGCATTAAAAAAAGGTCATTATAATGTAGTAGGGAGAATACTGGAAGAAAAATGATGAGACCTGTGCACTAGTACTGGCTATGACTCTAAACGTCTGAGCTTGGCCAAGTCTCTTCCTTCTGGGTATTAACCATTTCCTTAAGCTGGACTATCTACAAGGTCATCACAGTCATTTTCTTTTCCCTATAATGCTATATCCCAGCCTGATAAGCCTCCATCAGTACACCAGCCAAAACCTTCAATTGCCATCAAAATCTTTCCTAGCTCCTTAATATATGCATATGCAAACCTATGTAGAAATAAAAGCTTTTTTTTTTTTTGAGATGGAGTTTTGCTCTTGTTGCCCAGGCTGGAGTGCAATGGCATGATATTGGTTCACCGCAACTTCTACCTCCCAGGTTCAAGTGATTCTTCTTCCTCAGCCTCCCAAGGAGCTCAGAGATTACAGGCATGCGCCACCATGCCCAGCTAATTTTTTTTTTTTTTGGAGAGATGGGGCTTCTCCATGTTGGTCAGGCTGGTCTTGAACTCCCAACCTCAAGTGGTCCGCCCTCCTTGGCCTCCCAAAGTGCTGAGATTATAGGTGTGAGCCACTGTGCTCAGCTGACATACCCATTGTTGATGGTCAGTGTCTTTGTTTTGATTGGTCAGTGTTTTTCCTATATCAGTCATTAAATATTTTAGATATTACTTCTGCATGCATGCATAGGAAAATGTTCCCCAGATACTAACTGTAGTCTTTAGATAGGTTCTAGGGATTTCTACTTTTTTCACCAGAGTTTTTAATATTGTTTTCATTTGCACAACTTGCATATGTCAATTTTATAGTCAAAATAAACAAAGTTATTTTCATTTTGGAAAAAAGTTATATAAGATTTGCTTAAGCCAAAAAAAAAAAAATTCAGAAAAGTCTTTCAATAGGAATTATCATAGCATGTAAACGTCTTGGACTTTGAGAAATTTGGTTCTTTTTCTTCAAAATTATTATATCCTTGTGGGAACTGCTTCTTAATTATGACACTATCTTGCCTCAAATATCAAAACCTAAAACCTTTTGTTGTTGTTGTTTTCTTTCTTTCCTTCCTTCCTTCCTTCCTTCCTTCCTTCCTTCCTTCCTTCCTTCTTATCTTTCTTTCTTTTTGTAAGATCACTAGGCCGCTAAGGCAAATGCAGTAACCCTAATGAGTCTAGATTTCACAGAAACAGCTGAGATATTCTCCTGGCATCCTTTTGGCCAAGACCAGAAAATACAGGCTGAATGCTAAGACATTTGGAAGGGTTTGAATAATTATTATCACAAGGACCCTCTTTAATGAACTCCAAGACAAACTGGAGTATGATTTCTGGGTCAAGTCCTCAGCCTCTGTCTTTACCCTTGTGCTGGCTGGTATTTACATCAATGACTTGGATGAAAACAAAAATGCAAGGGCGTACCTGTGGAATATGTGGTTGACTTGAAACAAAGAGGGAGAACAGCAAGTATTTTGGGTGATAGAATCCAAAATGCCAGAGAAAACACAATAGGGATCGATGTCAGGTTCTGCCCTGGGGTTCAAAGGCCCAGGAATGAGCAGAGGCTGGGATGATGGGCTGACAGCAAGGCTCTGGGACTTGGCTTAATAGAAAACACAAGTCAGAAATGTGATGAGGGTACAGGAATAGCTTCAGGATCTTGGGTAGCATTTACAGGAATGAGGCATTTAGAATGAGGAAGGTATTAACCTTGCACAACATTGAATGTCAAAGATGGCAACTATTCAAAGGAAGAGTGGCCTGCTTCAAGAAACCATCTCTAGCTCATCATGTCTCCCTTCCCAGGCCTCTCAGGAAGTGGTAAAGGAGATGATACAGTTCTCCAAGGATACACTGGAAAAGATAGACAAGGCTCGTTCCGAGGGTTTGTATCACGAGGTAAGAATTCACTTGTTATAGAGAATGGGGGTAGAGAGGAGGGTGGAAATGTTCTCTAGTAAGGGAGGGAAATGGGGTGAGAATGGGCTCGGGGGAGGGTGGCTACTAAGCAGGTTGTTTTTCTAGAAATGTCCCTAGGTCGAGATCAGACTCTTCTTGTCCCTAAACCTTTAGCATCTCCTAAGGGTGTGTTCTTAGTGACTGTTTAACCTACTGAGATTGGGTCTGAGGGGAGTAGACACTTGTCCCTGGGGGATCTGTGATATCTAAACCTGGTATCAGAGATGGGGGAATGCAGATGGCAGTGGACATACTGGGAGTGAGTTGCTTGCTTTCCTGTAATTGAATGCATGCGCTGGCTACAATTTTCAGTCTCTCCCAACTGTGCATTCAACCTTGGCTCTTGAAGCAACCTTGGCTCTACATTAGAATCACCTCTGAAAAATTCTGATGCTTAGGCCCCCACTCAGGACAATTTCACCAGAATCTCTGGCCACGGGACCCTGATATCAAGATTTTTTAAAGCTTTCAGGTGATTTCAATGTGTAACCAAAGCTGAGACCCACTGCCAAACACTGGGCTACAGGGCATTTGCAATGAATCAACCTGGGTGGCTTGTTGGAAATACTATTTCCATTCTCACTGTCTAGGATGTGACTCATTCAATCTGCAACAGAAAACAGGGACCATGAATTAGTATTTTTGTTCCCCAAGCTTGTTAAGCAACTTGAATGCTTAATGCCATTAGGGCATGTGGATGCGGGAGATTAATTTCTATTTCTATTTCCCCTCTTTCTCCCTCTTTTTTTTTTTTTTTGGATTGAGGCAGAGTCTCACTCTGTTGTCCAGGATGGAGTGCAATGGTGCGATCTTGGCTCATCACAACCTCCGCCTCCTGGGTTCAAGCCATTCTCCTGCTTTAGCCTCCCAAGTAGCTGGGACTACAGGCACGTGCCACCATGTCCGGCTAATTTTTATATTTTTAGTAGAGATGGGATTTCACTATATTGGCCAGGCTGTCTCGAACTCTTGACCTTGTGAACCTCTCACCACGGCCTCCCAAAGTGCTGGGATTACAGGCTTGAGCCACGATGCCCAGCCTCTCCTTCTTTATTAACCCATTTATTGCACATTTCTAAGTCCTTACTAGAGTGGCCAACACAAGACACTCTCCTTGCCTAGAAGGAGTTCTGTCAGGTAGGGAGACAGTCACACGAACAAAGTGTTATTGTACAACATGGAAAATCTATGTCAGAGGCACAAGGTGGGAGCTGCAGTGAACAGGAGGGCCCCACTGCCTCCATTCCCTTGCTTCTCTTCTCTTCATTTCTTCTCCTTCTCCATTCAGACTAGGCAGGGCTAGGTGGGGCGCTGGACACTGTGCCCATGAGTTTACGAGGATTGTTTTCAGGATGAATTGATTGCCAGCCATGATTTTTCCACTCCCTGCTATGCCCCCACCACCTCAGGTTGTCTCATGAACCCTGGGAAAGTCTCAGAGCAAAATTAGTTCTCATTGACTTTAAATGGAAGGAATTGTATGGCATTTCTCCCAGCAGAGCAGCAAAGAAAGGAGAGGAGAACGATAAACACCTAAAATCTAGAGACCACTGGACTTTGCAGGGTAGGGTCTAAGCCTCTGTCTACACAAGAGTCAGTTGGAAAAGCCTGAGTCCAGGACGACTGAGGTCAGGCCCATCTTTTCCTCACCAGGGCCAAGGCTGCATGCTTCCAGGGATGTTTCCCAGCTTCCTGGAGCCTGTTCTCTGCATGTCCATCTTGTACACTTCCAGTTGGGACATAATTATTCAAACTCACTGAGCTTAAGGACCACCCAGCAGCTTATACAAACTACACATCCAGTGTTTTTCTCTCAGATATTTGGTTTCAACTGGTCTAGGGTAGGACTTGAACATCAGTGTTTTAAAAAAGCTTTCAGATGATTCCAAAGCACAGTGAGTGGAGAATCACTGGAATGGTGGTGAGGATGGAGCTCAGTGGCTTGGTCGCAGTGCTTGATCTGTTGCTCACTATCTGTGTGGCTGTGGCAAAGTACTTACCGTCTCTGTGCTTTAGTTTTCTCATCTGGTAAAATGGGATTATTAGTAGTACTCACCTCAATGTGCTATTATAAGATATACAATTATCTTATAATTTGTATATGTGTATATGTACGCATGCATGTATGTGTGCATGCATATATATGCGTGTGTGTATATATATGTATGTATGTATATACACACACACACACACACACACACACACACACACATATATTTCTCTCAGTATCTGTAGAAAATTGGTCCTAGGACCACCACAGATACTAAAATCTGCAAATGCTCAAGTCCCTTTTATAAATAAAACAGTGTATTTTTGTATGCAACATATGTATAGCCTTCCATATACTTTAAATCATCTCTAGATTACTTATAACACCTAATACAATGTAAATGCTACGTAAATAACTTTTATACTCTATTGACTTGTTTGCATATTTTTGTTGTTGTTGTATTATTCTTTCTTTTAAAATATTTTTGGCCAGGTATGGAGGCTCATGCCTGTAATCCTAGCACTTTGGGAGGCTGAGGTGGGTGGATTGCCTGAGCTCAGGAGTTCAAGACCAGCCTGGGCAACATGGTGAAACCCCATTTCTACTAAAAATACAAAAATTAGTTGGGCGTGGTGGTGTTCACCTGTAGTCCCAGCAACTCAGGAGGCTGAGGCAGGAGAATTGCTTGAACCCGGGAGGTGGAGGTTGCAGTGAGCCAAGGTTGAGCCACCGCACTTCAGCCTGGGCAATGGAGTGAGACTCTTGTCTCAAAAAAAAAAAAATATAGATATATATATATAATTTTAGATATAGATCAAATATATATATATTTGATCTGCAGTGGGTTGAATCCACTGGTGTGGAACTTGTGCATACACAGATCTGACTGTACATATTTATGTGTTTGTGTGTTTATGTGTTTATGTGTGTATGTATAGCTTTCATAGCTTCCTGCTACCTACTGATTTTGGAAATTCCTCGCTGTGCTCTGTCTGCCATATCTCACACCATTACCCTTCCCATCCTTATACCTTAGCCAATAGAACCACTTTGCAAGTCACACCCCAAACACAGCTGTGCTTTCCCATCTCTGTCAGCAATTACCCCAATTTAAAAAAGAATGGTATCATCAGGATGGTTGTGTATGTGAATTAAGCCTGTTGTCTGGTGCAATGGTAATGGGTAGGGCCTCTGTCTCACTCTAGGTTGTGAAATTATGCCGGGAGTGCCTGCAGAAGCAGGAGCCAGTGTTTGCTGACACCAACATCTACATGCTGCGGTTGCTGAGCATTGTTTCGGAGGTCCTTTCCTACCTCCAGGCCTTTGAGGAGGCCTCGGACTATGCCAGGCGGATGGTGGATGGCTATATGTAGGTGACGATCCTGGGTCTCAGACAGTCTCCTGGAAATGTGTCTATTCCAGGGATGGCAAATAGATGGCACATTTACTGCTGCCTCCCTCCTGTACCCATGGCAGGCATCAGTAATCCATCATGGTTCTCTTTTTGACTGAGCCTTTTTATCATGGTGCTCCAGTGGTAATGACCAAACAATCAGAGTTGGTAGTTGGGATGAAATCTATTTGCCTTCCCTGGTCTTTCCCAAATTCTCCAGCTCATCTATCACTTGGGTGACATGTTCTGCCTTTGATTTCCTTCAGGCTAACTCCAGCTTGATTTTAAGTGATTGGACCCCCACCCCCACCACCCTGTAACGAACACAGGCAATTCTGGGAGCTTTCTTTTATTTGTTTATTTTAAAAAGAGCCATCAGTTGGGGCTGGTTGCAGTGGCTCATGCCTGTAATTCCAGCACTTTGGGAGGCCAAGGTGGGCAGATCACGAAGTCAAGAGATCGAGACCATCCTGGCCAACATGGTGAACCCCGTCTCTACTAAAAAATACCAAAATTAGCTGGGCATGGTGGTGAATGCCTATAGTCCTAGCTACTCGGGAGGCTGAGGCAGGAGAGTTGCTTGAACCCGGGAGGCAGAGATTTCACTGAGCCGAGATTGCGCCACTGCACTCCAGCCTGGCAAGTGGTGACAGAGCAAGACTCTGTCTCAAAAAAATAAAAATAAAAAAGAGCCATCAATCATCTTTGCAAAAAAATTGTAAAATCCAATTCCCTTGCCTTCCATTTGCCAATACCCTGTCTTGCTTTCTGTGTCCATGTTGTTGTGCAAATTTGTGTTTCTGGCCAAATAAGTTGACACAAGTTCATTTCTTTGAGAGGATGTTAGTCATAAACAAAATGTAGATAAACTGTACAACATGCCAAGGAAGCCCTGCAAAAGCATGCCAAGCAGGTGAAAATACTGATGCTGTCTCAAAAAGGACATTTAAATTATTTTTTCTCCCTTGACCTTCCTACCACTTTCCTGGGAGAGGTCTGAGGTGCTCCTGAGAGTTGTGAGTTTCCTTTGCTCAAGTTCAGATAGTACAATCCTGGCCCTTTTCCCCAGAAAGACTTGGTTGGGCAGCTCAGGCCAGAGTTTCAGCTGTCACAGCCTCACTGTGTAGGACGTTTGGCAACTCATTCCATGTCTCTGTGTCTCAGTTCGTCCTTGGAGGGCTACAGAAGCCTTGCAGTGCTGAGGGGAGGAGCAGATGGGCTTAACTGATGAGGGTACTTTATACATTATAAATTCAGTGCAGATATAAGGATGATTGGTATGATGTGCGATTATTTGCTATGCTCCTGCAGGAAGCTCTACCACCCCAACAATGCCCAACTGGGCATGGCCGTGATGCGGGCAGGGCTGACCAACTGGCATGCTGGTAACATTGAGGTGGGGCATGGGATGATCTGCAAAGCCTATGCCATTCTCCTGGTGACACATGGACCCTCCCACCCCATCACCAAGGACTTAGAGGCAAGTAGTATCTTGGGGCTTATGTTCCTTCCCTGGTCTGAGCTTTCTGAGGATGACAGTGTGAGTTCAGGTGGAGTCTGCTTTAGAAAAGTCTGCATATTGCCAGCTAGACAGAAGGGAACTCAGAAATGCTTAGCCCACTACCTTGTGTGTTAGAACACTTGTGTTACCATAAAGGAATACCTGAGACTGGGTAATTTCTAAAGAAAAGAGGTTTATTTTGGCTCATGGTTCTGCAGACTGTATAGGAAGTGTGGTGCTGGCATCTGCTTCTGGTGAGGGCCCCAGGAAACTTCTAATCATGGTGGGAGGCAAAGGGGGCCAGCTTGTCATGACGAGAGAGGGAGCAAGAGGACGGCAGAGGTGCCAGGCCATTTTAAACAAGAAGATCTGGAGTAACCTCAGGGCGAGAACTCACTCCTACCAAGTGGATTGCACTAAGCCATTCATGAGGGATTTGCTCCCATGACTCAAGCATGTCCACCAGGCCACCTCCTACACTGGAGATCACATTTCAGTGTGAGGTTTGGAAGGGACACATATCCAAACCATATCACCTTGCTTCACACATGAGGAAATTGAGGCCCAGGGAAGGAGGGTAATCTGTTCATAGTCACATAATGAGTTAATGGCAAAGCTGAGACTTGAAGCCAAGTCTGTTGAATCGTAACACCCCAAGCCTGGTCTGAGGAAGTGTTAACAATGGCGTGTATATGTGTGCATGCATGCGTGTGCAACCATTTACATTAGAAAATATTCTGTGTAACATGGAGTGGAGTTTGGGATCACAGGCTCTGGAATCAGACCTCCAGTGTTGAGTTCCAGCTTCACCACTTTCTGGTTGTGAGATTTTGCAACTATCCAATGTATGGGCCTCAGTTTCCTCATCAGTAAAATAGGGGGAAAGGGCAGGGTTGTGATGAGTGTTCATGAGTTACTGTGTGAAATGCACTTAGTGCCTGGAAAATGGTGTTGCTGGTGTCCTTGGTGCTTTGAAGGGCTGCTTTATTTGAGAGTGACAGGGCTGTCCTCAGACAGTTCAGTCTAGGGAAAGAGGACAGACTTTGATGTTATAAAATGTAGGGTGACTATGACATTTAGGACTGGTGACTGTGACATTTAGGACATCCATCTCAGATATAGATGTCCTTTTTCTATTCAGATTCTAGGTTTCCTCATTTATAAAATGGAAATAATATAGTAGCCCCTCAAAATTGGCAGGAGGACCAAGGGAGGGGCAGAAAAGTGGGGTAACTAGCTTTACGTCTAGGGTATTGAGCCTGTCAAAGGCAGAGCCTTTGTCAATCTTATTCACACTGTATTCTCAGCCTCTTGAGAAATATTTCTTGAATGGACATGTGGGAGAATGAGGGCTCTTCTGTGTGTCACACACTGTAATCTTCCCAACCCACTATAAGGTATGAAGCCACAAAACGGGTGAGAAAACTGGTAGCTGAAGTGGTTACGCCACTTGCCTGAGGTCCCACATTAGTACCTGCAGGGGCCACGGTTCAAATCCACGTCCACTGGGAAGTTCCTGAGAACAAACATTGTTTTCTGAGAATGGTTCCTCCAGCTACTCTCCCAGGGTTCTGACTCCCTCTCCTTGACAAAGTGGGCCCACTGCCAGGACATTGGGCCCTCGATGAATGTGTGTGTGTGTGTGTGTGTGAGAGAGAGAGAGAGAGAGAGAGAGAGAGAGAGAGAGAGAGAGTGTGTGTGTGTGTGTGTGTGTGTGTGTGTGTGTGTTCTGAGGGGGTAGAGTTGAATCTCTGTAGCTGGAAGTAATTTACCCCAAGGTATGTCAGAGACCAGCATGTCCTAGGGGCTTACCATCACTGTTAATGGTATATTTGTGTCCCACAGGCCATGAGGGTTCAGACAGAGATGGAGCTACGCATGTTCCGCCAGAACGAATTCATGTACTACAAGATGCGCGAGGCTGCCCTGAACAACCAGCCCATGCAGGTCATGGCAGAGCCCAGCAATGAGCCAGCCCCGGCTCTGTTCCACAAGAAGCAATGAGGACTGCCAAGTGGAGGAGGGGCAATGTGGCTGGGGAGCTAGGGAGAGACTCTGGAGGTGGTGGGTCTCTGGGGAGATCCCTGATGAGGAAGTTGAGGTAATGCTCAGCCCTGTTTCTGGGGAAATTTACTGCCCTGTGTTTCCCAGTGCCATTTTGGCTCAATTCAAGTCAATTCAATTCAAGTTAACTCTATCCCAGCCCAAACCAACTCCTCCTACAAATATTATTGGATAGGCCCTAGAACCCAATAAAGGAGCTCCAAATGTCGTTGGGTGGGGAAGCAAAATGTAGAGAAACATTTAAAGCACGCTGTAATAATAAATGCAACTGTAAACTATATGGAGGAGGGTGCAGGGGTGGGAATGTGTCTGGTGTGTGTTGTTTGTGTACAGTCAGGGTATTACAGAGAGGATGACATCTGAGTTGAGGGTGGCAGGTGCCTAGAGTCTCAGATGAGCCTGGAGTCTCATCTGTGTAGGTGTCTCTGGGGCTGCTGGTCTCACCTGTGGTCTGCAACAGATACAATTGGCTGAGGAGGATATGTGATGCTGTTTCCTGAGGTTGGTGTGGAGTTATGAAGAAGGGGCTGTGTTAGGGCTACTTAGGCTCTACTCAGAGACCTGAAACCACTTCGGAATGGTGCATACGCAGGAAATGTTGACTGGGGGCCTTGCCCAAACCACGTGAGATCTTAAAGTCTGGAAAAAAAAAAAGGTCTGGGTTCCAACTAGAGCTCTAGAAATATTTTCAGAACACACAGAGAGGGAATTATTCCCTCCATCACCACCCTCATCACCAAGCCTTGTTGTTCCCTGTGATTTTAGATACTGTCTGATATTTTCCTGGCTATTTGCCTAGTAGGATTTAAAAAATATTTTCAGAATGAAGAAAAGAGGGAAACTTGGAAAGACATATACCTATTCATCCTGGGCCCTTCAAAATTGGCCCTTGGGGGCTTTGGTTACATGTGCTTGGGTGGTCTTTACCAGCTTAGACTTTCTCATGGCCCCACATGAAGCTCCATTCTCAATACTGAATAATTATTACTTCCCTTGCTGAACTTCTTTTTCTGTGATGCCCTGGGGGCTTCTGCTCTTCTCACCAGAAAGAGCATTTGAATATGGATTATTGTATACCTGGGTTAGACTCTCTTCAGAGGTGTGGCCAATTTATTCTGATCTCCTGAAGGCTGCTGTGATTTCCATCTGAGAAATGAGGATCTTGAGAATTGACCAACCCCAAGATTAGCCTGTTATCCTGTTATCTTCTGAGACCCCAATTTCTCATTAATGTTTTGGGAGATCCTGGAACAGATTCCTTCATTTGGGGCTGTCACCAAGACTTCTACAGAACCCAGGGCTACCACTGACCTCAGAGCCCTCCCTCACATCCTGAAGTCAATTAATCCCACTGGGTCTTATGTTTGTTATCTCTGCCTAAATGTTAGCTTCTCCATCTGCACTCTCTCATCCACATGATGACCCACTGTGTCCTTCTGAACACTGCCCAGTGGTTGAAAGCTTTGCAAATGGGCCACATTTTTGCAAAATACTTGTGTCTGACATTTAGGTCTTCTTTGAAGATTTTCCTTTCTAGAAGGTTTTACGAGACGACTGATAGTCTTTCAAGCTCCCACACCATAGGCTTAGGGACGGCACTGATATTCTCCCAGGAATCTAATTGGTATGTTCAAATTGTCACTCTTCTACCTTCACATAAAACTCCTCCCCCAAACCCTTTTCCCTTTTTTGTCATTGTCATCTGCTGAGCCACTGGTCATTTCCCCATATTCATGGTCTTTTTTTCCATCCTATCTTTCTAATATTTGTTGTCTTTAACAAACTGAGCTCTATGTCTGTGCTCCTCCTCCCCTCTCAGACCATTGGAACATGAGTCCTTCTCCCTGCCGCAAGGTCCTCTGGACTCCTTCCCCTCCTTTGACCCCCAGACTTTGTTCCATCTATTATTGCTTCTGCATCCTGGATCCTTGACATTTCTCACCCCACTGGCCTTCTCAAGTGCAATCAATAAAAATGCTGAGAACTCTTGGATTGTAATCTTTATGACTAAGTGTTTTTAGTTGTGTAGTTATTATCTTCCTTTCTTCACTTTGCATTTCTTCTTGAATCCACTGCAGGTTGACTTCCACTCCCACCCCTCCACTAAAAGGGCTCTTAACCAAGATCAAACCTAGTGGGTACTTTTTAGTTCCTATGTGATTTAGCCTTTCCGTGTCAGTCAACACTCCCAGCCCTTGATTTCAGTGACCCACTCCCTTGCGATGATCTTCTGATGTGGTTTCTCAGGTTCCTTCGCTGGTCCTTTTCCCCTGATATATTAACATTTCCTGGAGTTGGTTTTGCCCTTGATTCATTCTCATCTCATTCTGCACATACTCCTTGCATGAACTCCGGCAGGCCCTTCATTTAATGACCACCTTAAGGCTGATGATTCTCAAATCTGTATTCCCTGATGTTGCATTTGAGCTCCAGCCCCACTCATCCGCTCAGATGTTCTTGCAGGCCCAACAAACTCGTCATGTCCAAAGTGAAACTTTTTCTCTTTTCTCTCTCCTCTCCCTTCATCTGTTCCTCCTTAGAACACCACCCAAGAACCTCACCTCTTCCATCAGATTGTGAACTCCTGGAGGGCAGGAGCTGTGTCCCTCTATTCATCTTCCTATCCCCAGAACCTTGCATAGGTCCTGGAACATGGCAGGTGCTCAGTAAATGTGTGTTGAATGAATGAATGAACAAATGAATTTGCTTACTTATGAGCAAAAGAACCATGAAACTGTATTTGGAGTTTTTATGTTATAGCAGTCAGCAAATCCTATTAAATACTTTGTGTTTCCAAGCAAATAAGCGTGGCTTCTTTCTTTCTGACAATCTTTTTAGAGCAGCACTGTCTAATGGAATTTTCTGTGATGATGGAAATGTATTATATCTGTGTTGTCCAATACAGTACAGTAGCCACTAGCAACTTGTGACTATTGAGCACTGGAGTATGACTGCAGAACAGAATTTTAAATGTTATTTAATTTCAACTAATTTATAGTTAGCCAACGGGGCTAGTGGCTACCATATTAAATTGTGCAATTTTAGAGAAATACTTCAGTGTCGTTTCTGAGAATATGGACACTAAGAAAAACCATCTCAGTTTGTCATTATCCTAATCTTATCTGTGTGACCTTGGACTAGTTATTTTACCCATGCCTCAGTTTCCTGACTTCTACCTACTGCCTGAGTTTGCTGTGAGGACTAATTTTTTAAAGAGGAAAGCCCTGAGAACCCAACCCATCATAAGTGCTTAGTGACTGTTACTAGTTATTATTACACTTTGAGTATTCCAACCTTGCTTCTCCTGGGGTGTCCCTTCTCCCAGTTAGAAGGTGGAGGTGAAGGGTAGAGGCAATAGCAGTGTGATGGAACTAGCTCTTATCGGCTTGGGAGAGCCGGCAGGGCATGTCTCTTTCCAACTCTGCATTCATCAACATCACACTGATAAGTTAACATTGGCCATGGTGGGAATATTTACACCACAGTAATGGCCTAACTTTAGAACACATTAATTTGCAGTGTTGTCAACCTGTAAAGGAGCTTCACTACATGCGAGTAGCAAAATAGATAACAGAAAGACCATTAAAGAAGCCTTCACTTAAACTGGGATGAAATCTGCATCCTGAAACCTCTGTTCCTTAGGGCCATGCCGAACAAGTCTAAGACCTCTGATTACCCTGTAGATGATGCCGTCTGCCCACTGCACCATCACTGTATTGGCAAACACATGTATTAAAGGGCAGACATAGCCACTGCTTGGGTGAGTCACAGGGTGTACTTCTCTAAAGGATATTGAAGGGAATAATATAGTTGGGGGCACATAGCAGAGAGAATAGCAACATTTCTTCTTGTTTTTTTCTTGAGACAGGGTATCCCTTTTTGTCTAGGCTGGAGTGCAGTGGAGTGATCTTGGCTCACTGTAGCCTTGACTTCCTAGGTTCAAGTGATTCTCCCACTTCAGCCTCCCAAGTAGCTGGGACCACAAGGTGTGCACCACCACGCCATCAACACCTTCAGCCCGCCTGGATGGGAATCTCCCTATCAAGCTGGTTTTCAGTAGGGGACTACAGTTCGAAGCAGCAGATTGAATTCCAGATACATGGTTTGTGTCCTTCAGTGGCACTTATATTTGGCCTCGGCAGACTTTCTAGCTCTTTCTCTAGGGACACTGCTCTGCACCATGAGGCTCTGAGGAGGTGGTTCAGGACAGGCTGTTGCAGGATGGAGCCTGACCTGCCACAGCACAGCATTTGCTGACACACAGTGATGGACCATGAGTCAATGGAGTGCTGGTAGATAGTTAAAAACAATGTGAAGAAGACGCCCTGATTAGTAGCAGTTGCTGATTTCCCTGGTGTAAATATTCCTGTGCAGGCCCATGTCAAATACCAAGCTGTATATGGAATTGGGACCTGGGACTAGGTGGCTCCAGCCATACTGCTTGTGACCCAAGCCAGGCAATTGGACCCTTGTTGGGCAACCCTTATCCTTCTGAACTGGAGGAGGAGGAGTCCTTGCTGTTCTCTAGGAATGCAAGCTCTCAGTTTGTGACCCTGGAGGTGCTGACAATCATACTCTCCGCCATGTGGAGAGGCCCAGGAGACCATAGCTTGTATTGAGGGAGAAGTATTGCGTTGTTATTCAGCTTTGGGTCCGCCTGTCCCTTCTAGTTCTATGGGCCAGTGAACTATGTTACCCCTGCCCCATTGTTATTTTTGGCATAACCCATTTGGGTGTGTTTCCCATTGTGCTCGTTCCCATTGTGCTAGTTTTTCTCCATTTCTCCCACAGGCCTTCTCCACTCTCCTCTGACTTGCTTTGTGTCAGAAAGGCTGACTTTTTTTTTCTCATTTAACCAGTAAGAAGCACCGGCAGGAGACTGGAATGCAGGACACCCGCAACAACTGCCCAGCCAGGGGTTCAGCTCCCATTGGGTGGCCCTTCTACCGCTCTAGGTCTCCCTGGGCTCCAGTAACGCTGCCCCCTCAGGTGCCTCTTCAGGTCTACAGGTGGTGGTGGCTTCCTGCAATTGCTGGCTGGGGACCTCACCTACTTTATGGGTTCCCTTTAACCACATCTTTGTAAATAGCCCTTTTGTTAGCAGTGGAAAATCCGAATGGGTCCGCAGCAGTGTGGAAAACATTCGTCTGAGGGGAATAGGGCAGAGTGAAAGACTGAGGCAAGTTTTAGAGCAGGAACGAAAAGGTAAAATACACTTGGAAGGGGCGGGGGGCTTGAGAGATCCAAGTGCCCTGTTTGACATTTGATCTGGGGTTTTATATGTTGGTATGCTCCTCGGGTTTTGTGTCTCTCTGCCCCTCTTCCTTGAGGCAGGCTGTCCTTCTGTGCAGGGGCCTGCCAGCACTTGGGCGGGGCCGCATGCGCAGTGTGTTACTGGGGTTGTGCGCATGCTCATTTCAGGCGTTTTTTTTTCCTTTCTAGTTGACTTCCTAGAGGAAGGTCATGTATCAGTTAAACCCCACCATTTTGCCTCTTAATGCACATGCTTGAACTCATTTGGCCATCTCCGAGCTCTTATTGGGAAGCTGCTGACCACTATCTTAAGGGATTTTCTATCTGTTGGGAGGCTGCCTTTTCCTGGCGCTGGCTGTGAACGATTATTACTTTAGAGAGGCAGTTGAACAACTACCTGACCGTCACCTGACTCTTGCCTGACATTCCTTAGTGGGGGTGCCATCTCCTGCCCTGCCTAGCTACTTACTTTAATACTTTCATTAAATTCTCACCGTGTGCCTTATTTTCTGACGATTCATCTTGCTAATGCATATCCCACGTCTAGTAACTAGATCCCATTGATTCTAATTCCTAAATATGCTTAAATCTTTTGCTACGTTCCATCCTCATGGGCACTGCCTTAGTTCAGGCACCATTCTTGTCAGGACCATTGCCACAGCCTCTGAATTGTCTCTCTCTATTCAGCTTTGGTTTCTTTCATTGGTCCTTGCTACTGTGGCCAGAATAATGTGTGTGTGTGTGTGTGTGTGTGTGTGTGTGTGTGTGTGTGTGTGTGTGTTTTACAGTGCTTTTAGTATCATGTTACTCTTAGAGCTGAAAACCCCTCAATGACTCTCTACTGTTTTCAGGATCAAATTCAAACTCCTTGCTAGAGTCAAAGGATTCTCATGGTAGAGATTCTGTTCCTTCTCTGCCTCTTTTGCTAAGCCCCAATTGTACCACATCTCCCTGTGAAGCAAATACCCTTGGATGCTTTCATACCTCCTCTGAGATGTTTTTCTAGGTACCACCCCTACCCCGGTCTGTAGCAGGGGCTGGAGCTAGTACCTACCTTCATCACAGTGGGATGACACTATCACACTTACGGTCCCACTGACAGTGAGTCTCCTGGGGATCACCGTATCCTCAGGGCTTAGCACTGCCCTGTCCTGCTTTGGCTAAATGAGGCTAGGTTATGCGGAGAAGATGCATTTAATTTCAAGTCTCCTTGTTTTTCTAGTAAGAAATGCTACAAAATCATGGCATGGTAAATATGCCTCTAGGTATACAGAAAAAATGCTCTAAAGATAGAGTATGGACTAAGTTAGGCAGCACCCTGCCCCCTCCCCTGCCCACCAATCACTGTATTTACTCTAATGGCAGTCAGTTGAAAAAAAAAAAAGAAAAAATTTAAAAAAGGAAGTCTACTTTTGTGTGGATGTGGACACCCATACTGGCTGTTTGCAAATCAATGGGCTGTCACTGGGAAACAGCACTCTCTGTTGGTGGGATGCCCACAGGACAGGCAGAGAGGAGGAATGGAGAGGCCCAAAGTGTGGGAGGGGTCAAGGTAAAAATAACCCACACCATCAACAGCTGTTTATTCCATTTATTTAAGCAGGCTTCTGGCCCAAAATTCTCTGGGCACCTGTACAAAATCTAAAGTAAACATCCAAAATTAATTCTCCTTTTCAGGAAAAAACACAAACAATTCCCTCAAAAACCCAGAGTTGTTCTCAGAGGAAGACTCCATTTAGGGGGAGATTGGGAATTTTGTCAGATCCCTGGAAGCTTTGCTAAGAGGACCTTGTCTGCACCACTTTCTCCTCCTGTGGCTCCAGAGTCAAAGCACCTCAGTGCCACTGTCTGTTGGCTTGGTGGGCCAGAGCAAACCTCTTTTCCTACCTAAGCCTCTGCACTGCTCTCAGAGGTTCACTCCTCTGGGCACAACAGAGTTTCTGCTAACGGTCCCAATATTAAACCCAACTGACACTCCCTGAGGAATCTGAGAATGGAAATAATGATATATTCTCCTTGGATGGCATTTGGCTTGCATCAGTTCATGGGCTCCTCTTGAAAGCCATGAAGGAAGGGATTGTCTTGCTGATTTTACAGGAGAGAAAGCTGAGGTCCACAATTACAGATTAGTTAGCTAGAACCATGTCTTCATGCCCAATATTTTAACTTTGTCAGCTGCTGAAAAATTTTATTGCTCATTAAAAATAATAGTTTCACAAAATGCGTTCTTTGCAGAAGATTCAAGCAATATAAATAATGCTCCCACCAGTTCTGTTCCCAGAGGTAATGGCTATTATCTGGTGTTCTGGATAATGGAGTCCAACCATTAGATATTTTTCTATACATTCACACACATAGATGTATACACACAATTTAGTTTCATGTTTTAACAACATTTACTTGAAGGATAGTATACTGTCAATATTATTTCTAAAACTTACTTTTTAAAGGAAGTGCTTTGTTTTGGATATATTTCTATGTCAGTACATACAGATCTACTTCATTCATTTGCTCCACTGTTTCTTTCAGAGTATGGCTATACCACAGTT